CGCATCCACTGGGCCTTGCTCTTCACTTATTCCCAGGCCTTCCTGCCAGTGGAGAGGTTTTGTTTTCTTCTTCTGTCTATATTCGTAGGCCTCTTAGCTATTAGGAGCTGTCAGATGTGTACTAATAGCTAATGTTCCTAGCCTGAAATTAAAAGTACTGCATCCGCACCATGTACCTGATGGGGATCTGACCTCAAGTGTGTTCTGAGCCCAGGCTTCCTGGCGTGGTGTCTTTTTTAACCACATAAGATTCTGACAAATTGCAAATACTGGTATTGTGATTTGGTTCTCTGTACAAAGAAAGAAGCTCCATGCAGTGAGTTTGTGGTTTGATGGTCACAAAATGTTAGCACTGCTACCATTCAGCACGTGTAAAATTTTTTAAATTTATAAATATTAAAATTTTAAACTTACACTAAGACTTTTCAGTTTTTTTAAAGAAACCCAGGGATGAGTATGCTGTTTAAATATTTACCTCTATTAACATTACTAATGAAGGTATAAAGTTGCATTTAATTTTTCAAAAGATGCTACAGTATGATTTTAGGAAATAAGGCTATGTACTGAGCCAGTTACAAGCTGAATATCAGATTGATAAAATTTTATTTGTATTTTTAAAATCCATAAATGGGAGTTAAATGTGTCTTTTCACTAAATATTTTTATTACAGTTTTGTTTTGACCATGTGTGATTTGTTCATGGGTATTTAGCTAGACTGTTTTATGAAGCTTATTGAAATGGTGCTAGTTCGTTTACAATCATAGTATGTGACACTGGGGACATTGCATAATCATAAAATAATTTTGAATAAAAAACATGAGACATATCTGTACAGATAAAATAAAGATTTGCATTAACCTTCTGAGAAAACACCCAAACCGTAATAGAGTATTCAAAATTCAGAAAGAAAAAAGTTCATTTATATTCTGTAATATCGAGCATATTTTTTTATTTCACCTCACGGTCTTAGGAACATTTTCAGAGTTATTAGTTAAATCACTGGATTTGGGCATATTTGTAGTAAATATTTTTAGTAGTTTGGGTCATTCTTTTCAGCCTTTCAGGGAAAGTGGAAAATTACCATCATGCTCTGTGTTAGACTTACAGACTTGAACCCTTTGCCCAATCTTAAATCTTATAAACATGTGCAGTGGAAAGTTAATTTTTTTAAGAAAAGGAAATGCTTGAAATATATTTATTTTAAACTTGATTTTGCTTTGAATATTCATTGATTTATAATGGTATTTCTTAGGTTATGTTGAAATTTGATTTTACTCCAAGGATGGATAAAGAAACAGCAGGTTGTTTAAGAGGCAGAGTAAGTAGAGCACATGTTGAGTTTTTGATTCACCCTCTTTCATTATTAAGGGGGGACGTTAGGCACAGACTAATCATCTGTCATTTGAAGAGAGCCATAGACGATTTTAAAGGTCCCATATATAAAAATTAGTATTTTTAAAAAGTCATCTTTAATGGTTCTCTCTAAAAATAGTCATTTTATATTGAGTGGTTTGTGAATAATGCCTTTGATGCGTTGGTTAGATATATGACATTTTTGTTTGTATTTTAGGCATAGCATCCCAGATTGAGTCTGTGCATTCTTTGTAATCTCAAATGGCAGTTCAATTCGACTTTCTTTTAAAACTAAGCAGAAGCAATAGCATGTTCAATGAAACTATTGAGAAAATCTCCCACTCAGAAATTCCATACAGTACTAATAGCAGCGTTCTGTCTCACCTCCTATTGACTTCTTTCCGGATAAATTATTTTTAACATCTAGCATGACATTGAACAGAGAGAGGTAAGTCACTGATGGTTCCAGGAGCTGAAGAATGAAAAAACTAAAGTGAAGAGCGCTTAAATAGGGATGTGCTAAATATTCTTATTTCCACAGTAGTTAGCAGTTTTAAGTTTTTATGGTGTTCACTTCAGTTTACTTTGCCAGGTGAGTCTTCAAATATTCCTATTAGTAAGCCTGAGATCTTAGGCTGCAATACTCATTTGTATACCTGGTTATAATTGCATTGCCCTCGATGGTCCTTTCTGAGGACTGACCTGGTAAAGCCATTTGAACTGGTACGGTACAGGGGAGAAGCAGAAAGACCTAGATTGATTTCCTAACTAAGCTAATATTTAGGGTTTATGTTAATTTCCATGGGCGTTTCATCTATATAATAGGACCATAAATAATGTTAATTCTTCCCAAAGGAAAAATTTAAAACATGGTAATGGATATAATAGATGCTCAGTAGATTCCATTATATTTAAAGATTATTTCTAAGAACACATTTTGATCAATAAACGTCCTAATACAAAGTCTAATACCTGATAGTCATTAATTATTTTTAAATACTGTGATACCTTCACATCAATAAAATGTGAACTTCTAGCCCTAGCCACAACCACCATGTTGGTATTGGGATAGAGTTCACCATATTATTTACTGTTTCTTCTTTTCTATATGAGAAAATTGATTGATTTAAGTCAGTGGTTTCAATTTCTGTTGAATATTCAGCTCCTGTTCCTACAACAACAACAATCCTAAAGTGATTCCTAAAGTAAGTTTCACGAATCACTAATTCTTTATAACTTAGCTGTTATCAAATAAATTGGAGAAATAAAACAAGTGGGGATTTTTGGGTGTTTTTTTTTTAACTATGTGAAGTTAAAGCTTTACTACATTAATGCACGTTGGAAACTAGAAGATCTTAATGAGATTTTTATCAGCCTATTTAATGGTTTCTATTCAAAGCATCTTATGGGACTAGAATTCTCGTGAACATCCTTTGCAACATGCTTAGGTTGAATAATCTGGTGATACAGTCCTTGACGAATGGAAGAAAAAAAGAAAAGACCAGAATCTGTGTTCTTGTAATTATAGGTAATTACTAGTTATTTTTTAGAAAGGGAAAACCAAGTGTAAGTTCGTCTTAAGAGACCTTTTCAAAGTAATCTTCGTTCCTTTTATGCACCATTTCTGAAGAGCAGCAAGATGAACAAAAATAATTTCTGAATACACAAAGGAGTAATTCCTGGATTGAAATTGATTTGAAAGCATCTTTCAAGTCTAGTTTAACTTGACAAATAATCTTCAGTAATAAATTGCCTTTGATGTTTTACATTTCTTTATGATTTTCAAAAACCATTGAATTACAATGCAAAAGTTTCATCAGGAAAATTCTAATCTTCATGCAGCAGAGACGTGCTGTCTGGGCAGTCAGCACTCTTGGTGGAGGTACAATTATATGAACTTCCTGACATCTAGGTCACTTTATAAAAATAACATGTAGTCGTACACATTACATGAAGGTAACTTGTGTCTCATGTTATGAAAGCAGTTGAAACTTTGAAAGCTTAAAAAGGTGTTTCAAACCAAAAATAATTTGCTTTAGCATAAACTTTTCTCTTAATTTATAAGCCAAGGCAGTCTCGTATGTATGAAACACTACCTCTGTAAAAATGTACTGCCATAGGGTGCCTGGGTGGCTCAGTTGGTTGAGCGACTGCCTTCGGCTCAGGTCATGATCCTGGAGTCCCAGGATCGAGTCCTGCATTGGGCTCCCTGCTCAGCAGGGAGTCTGCTTCTCCCTCTGACCCTCCCCCCTCTCATGTGCTCTGTCTCTCAAATAAATAAAATCTTTAAAAAAAAAAAAATGTACTGCCATAAAAGTTGGTTATTGTTTCTTAGTTTGTTATTGATTTCTTAGTTTTACACATTTTCTTTCCAGCCCCTTTAACTAAGTTACATCTGATTTTGAAATATTGTTTAATAGATTTGTTATCAGTTCAAAGCATTCAAAGTAAATAAAGCGTGGGTTGTTACAGACCTGCAAACTATTTTTATTTTTTTTAAGATTTTATTTATTCATTTGAGACACAGAGATACAGAGACAGAGAGAGAGCATGAGCAGGGAGAGAGGCAGAGGGAGAGGGAGAAGCAGGCTCCTCGCTGAGCCAGGAGCCCAATGTGGGGCTCGATCCCAGGACCCTGGGATCATGACCTGAGCCGAAGGCAGACGCTTAACCGACTGAGCCACCCAGGCGCCCCCTGCAAACTATTTAAAACAGGAATTATGGTACCCACAAAGTTGTAAACCTCTTTTATGAACTATTGAATGGCATCATTTGGCCCCTGAGCAATTCATTTATATCCTCATCCCAAAAAGGATTTAAAGCTATTCAGAATATATAAACTTAGCAAGATCATAAAATTGATAAAGGAAAGGAAGGTAGGAACATAACATTGATTGCCTTGGGGAATGGAAAAATACCTCACGATTTGGTAACAGCAAAGGTGGAAGGGAACCCTTATTACAGTAAGTGCCTGTTAGGTGGTAAGTACTGTGTGCTGGATGTCTCATATATTGAACGCACTCAAGACTGAAGGCTCTGAAAGACTCCTGGCAAATCAGCTGACCAAAAAGTATCCATCATTTTCATGGAGAATGCTGTTCCCTCATAATTACATTGTTTGCCAAATTAGTAGCTGGTCTTACTTCAGCATGAAGACAGCTGTCTACGTCATCCATTCTCCAATCAGATCTTGCATATCTCTTGCATTCTTTGCAGCAGGTAGGCAAATCCTATCGAGGAGGAAATCTGGCCAAAGTGCAGGGTTTGAGTTTTTCTAATCCTGTCAATATTGCAAAGCCTCAATTTAATGTCTTAATTCCTCTACTTTTTTAAATTTAAAAGAAATTTTTAAAATTCCTAAGACTGGGTAAACTAGATAGAGGTTTGAATTTATGTTTGTGAAACGTACATCTAGTTTCAAGTGCAAAAGCTACTTGGAATACGTTTCATTTGAAGGGAATCTAAAACCTTAAATTCTGTCTATTGCCACCATTCTTGGAGGTAATTTATAAGACAGAGGTATTCCCATCAGGAGTCAGCACTTGCGGACTCTCAGAGCGGGACTTGAACGCTGGGAGGAAGCTGCATTCCCCCGTCTTCCGGAAGTGCCCTCGGGCGGGAGGGTGTGCGCATGCGCGAAAGCGGCGCGGGCTGGTACTGCCCACTGTCCTAGCTTGGGGTAACTGGGCACGCGTGGCTTGTGAGTGGACGATCCTGGGCGCCAAGGTGGGGTAGTTTCCGCGCTGCTCAGCGGCTTCGGAATCGGTTGTTTTTCTTATTCTGTTTGTCACCCTTTCTCCAGTGCAGTAAAGGAGGAGGGGTTACAAATAGTGGTGTCTGGGGATGGCAGGAGAGCTGCAACCGAGCCGGGAGGGAAACCTGGTTGCTGTTGTGTGAGACCCGGCCCGGGAGGGTCCGCACGACCGGGGCTTAGGCAGTCCAGGCGCGGGGAAGAGTTAACCCCCAGGCCAGAGCAGCACGAGAACTCCCCTCCGATCAGAAACGGGACTGGGCCTACTGCCCTTTACTTCTTTGCCCCGGACGTTTGAGCCTCCACACTTGTCTCCTGGGGCGTTAGGAGGGAGGTCTGCTGGGCGCGGGGTGTAAAGTGGAGTAGACTAGGCCCCAGCTCCCCAGGGGAGACGGGAAACTTGGCGGTGCAGAAGGGCAGTAGCGTCTTAGTGGTACAGGGATCATAGTAAGGGACCTAGCTGGGGTGGGGGACACTTTCCGGGGGGAAAGGAGGGGATGTGTAAGACCAGAAGGGTATCTTGACAGGGGTTGTGGTTACGTGGAGGTATACAAAGCAGTTCATCGTGTTGTAGGTTTATGATTTGTATTAAACTGTAGGTAAATTTTACTTTTAAAGTTAATTTTTTAAAATAACAGGATAAATGGAATTTTGGAAAATGAGAGGGAAGAAAGCATTTTAGGCAGGGGTAACTACAGATGCAAAGATGAAAATGAAAGGTTATGGCCCTTTTCTGACAGTAAATGGGATTAAGGGTAGAGTCTAGGGCAATATGCAAAACTATTTAGGAAACATTTAGGCCATTCTTACCCATTTGCAGAGGGAGCCTCACAGACTACCTCAGGTTTCCCTTCCCTCCTTCCACACCCCCCACCCATTTACTCAGGAGTCTGGGATGAGTCCCAGGTTAATGCTCTTTCCACTGAATCACGCTGCCCCGACCAAAATAACTTGCAGACGGCAATATGATACTGTGTGAATTTATACAGTGGGGGAAGGAGTGGCTTGCTTTAGTAAATTTGATATATGGAAATTGAATTTTATACATTTGAAATGTGATTGGATTTACACATTACTTTTTAGGATTACATTAGTTATATTGAGTTAAGTATTTAAAGAAATAGAAAGTAACCACAGTCCATTAGGAGCCTACTGATGCTGCACATAAATGTGTCCAGCCCTTTGCTCATGCTGTTCCTTCTGCAGTCCTCACTCTTCATCTTTTCTTCTCCCTCAAGGCCAAGTTAAAGTGCCACCTCCTGTTTCACTTCTATTCTCTGCCCACACGTGCTCTTCATTTTGATCCCATTGCACTAAATGGTGGTGAATGGTGCTTTTCTAATAGAGGGCTCACCACATTATCACAATCATTTGTCTTATTTCTCAACCATGGCACTGTAGACATTTGGGGCCAGATAGTTCCTTCTTGTGGAGGGTTGTCTTGTATTTGCCAGCATTCCTGGTCTCTACCCACTAGATACCAGTAGCACGCTCCCCAGTTCTGACAACCAGAAATGTCTCCAGACATTGCGAAATGTTCCCCTTCTGGGGCAGGTGGCCAGGGGGTGGGGTGGTGGTGCAAAATCTATGAGAACCACTGATCTCATGTATGAGCCATATAAGGCTTAGCATCAGTTTAATAATAATATGACATAGCACTTTCCAGCTCTTCTGGACTTGAAAATCTCTTTCACATCAATTTCATAAACCCACTTAGAAAATTTTTATTTTTGGAGCTCCTGGGTGGCTCAGTCATTAAGGGTCTGCCTTCGGCTCAGGTCATGATCCCAGGGTTCTGGGATCGAGCCCCGCATTGGGTTCCCTGCTCCGCGGGAAGCCTGCTGGTTCCTCTCCCACTCCCCCTGCTTGTGTTCCCTCTCTCGCTGTGTCTCTGTCAAATAAATAAAATGTTTAAAAAATTTTTTTCTTATTTTTAAAAATTTTTTTAAAGATTTTATTTATTTATTTGACAGAGACAGCAAGAGAGGGGACACAAGCAGGGGGAGTGGGAGAAGCAGGCTTCCTTCTGAGCAGGGAGCCCGATGCGGGGCTCGATCCCAGGACCCTGGGACCATGACCTGAGCCGAAGGCAGACGCTTAACTACTGAGTTACCCAGGCACCCCCACTTAGAAAATTTTTAAACAACGCTAAAGATATGATGAAGTAGTGACTTAAGTAAAAAAGTTAGTATATTGAAACTAAAGTTCATTTAGCCTGTAGCAATGTTTATTACATAAGCAGATTTAAGTTTTTCCCATTTAACAAGTGATGCAATCTTGAACTCACTTTAATAAGGTAAGAATCTGTCTATGGTTGCTAAAATTGCAGCCCCCTCCATTCTCCACATGTTTCTCCATTGATCTTAACCATCATCCAACACATTTTATTTCTATTGCCTGTAGCCTGTGCCTCACTGGAATATAAGCTCCAAGAGGACTGAGACTTTGATTTCCATCACCAAGAACATTGCCAAGTACAAGGCAATACCTCAATAAATGATTACCAAATGACTGGATTTGGTCAGCTTTAAGATAAAATTTTATTTGGGGACAAAATTCATGCTAAAATATAGATTGGAGTATAATTGCCTTTTACAGCTGTGAAAGTAGACAGTTTTCTTAAACTGCTTTTTGGAATTCTTTATTTTGTATTTAACATCAACTGGTTTCTTTTTATGGTTTTCAGGTTTTATTCCAAGCTGCAGTTTGAAAGCCCTTCTCCACAGATGGAGCTGTGGAAAGTGCTTAGTACTAATAAATAAAAATTCAGATTTTCCTGTCTGTATCAGGGATATATGTGTGTACATGTGCCTATATGAATGTACATGGACATGCGCACACACGCACATATATGTACACACATACATTAACACACATACTTTTTGTCCTTTACCTCTTCTAGACAGTATCATGGTGTAGCTTTGATCAGGAACTGGTTGTACACTTCAACTCTGCCAGGAGACCTTGGATTTTAATAGTTGCCTGATTCTTTTCCTGAATGAAAGAACTCTTAATCCTGTAACCAAACCAAAATGAGACCTTTTTAGTAGGTTGCAGATCAGTTTGCTATATTTTCTTAGTCTTTCTCGGTTCGGCATGCACAACACACTAATCTTTGGAATTTCCAGCTGGAAATTCTCCAGCCTGATAGCTCCTGGTACGCTTCCCTAAAAATTTATTCATTGTGCTTTCTGCAGTAAACTAAAGTTGCTCATTCAAAGCCTTCATACCATTGCTCAGTGGGACTGCTGCAGACACCTCTATGTTGATTTAAGTTATTTTTATTCTAAATTATAACCTCAAAGGCAAATAACTCATCCTGCTTTTAATTGTTCCACAACTATAGAACTTAACACATTCTCGGGGCGCCTGGGTGGCTCAGTCATTAAGCGTCTGCCTTCAGCTCAGATCATGGTCCCAGGGTCCTGGAATCGAGCCCCGCATCGGGCTCCCTGCTCTGCAGGAAGCCTGCTTCTCCCTCTCCCACTCCCCCTGCTTGTGTTCCCTCTCTCACTGTGTCTCTCTCTGTCAAATAAATAAAATCTTAAAAAAAAAAAAAAAAACTTAACACATTCTCAAATTAAATATAAACAAAACTATAAAACAACAAAATTCAAATTAGTTCGTTGTGAACGTTGTTCACAAAGAATTAGTAGGCAATTCTTTTGAGATTATTCCTAATTTACTTGAAACTATATAATGCATCAGTTCTTTTACCAACCACTTGATGGAAAGGCTGTTTCCTCTACCTTCAATACTCTTTTCCTTTCTTTGCCAACGGGAGAACTTATTCTTTAGATCCTAGTATAAATATCACTTCTTCAGGGAAGCCTCTAATAATTAGAGTCATGACAACAATCTATTTACCTTACCTTAACAGCCCATTGATATCCACTCTAATAACATTTTCCCCCAATATTTTTATTGTGATAATATACATGTAACATAGAATTTACCATCTTAACCATTTTTAAGTGTCCAGTTCAGTAGTGTTAATACATTCACACTGTTGTGCGACAGTTGCCACCATCCATTTACAGAACTCTTTTCATCTTGAAAACTGAGACTATACACACATTAAACAACTTCCCATTTCTCCCATCCCCCAGCAACCACCATTCCACTTTCTGTCTTTATGAATTTGATAACTCTAGGTACCTTGTATCAGTGGAATCATAAAGTATTTGTCTTTTTGTAACTTTTTTCACTTAGTATAATGTCCTCAAGGTTCACTGTATATTGTAGCATGTGTCAGAATTTCTTTCCTTTTTAAGGCTGAATAATATTCCTTTGTATGTATATCCATTCATCTATTGATAGACACTTGGGTGTTGGTCTCTTAAATCATGTAAAAAACAAAAAATGGAGTTACAAATTGAAGTTACAATAATACTAGCTTTTACAATTGCCCATATATTTACCTTTCTGAGATCTTTATTTCTACATATGGCTTTGAGTCGCTGTTTAGTATACTTTCATTTTAACTACAGGACTCACTTTACCAATTTTTGCAGGGCAGGTCTAGTGGTAACGAACTCCCTCAGCTTTTGTTTATCAGTGAATGTCTTAATTTCTCCCTCACTTTTGAAGGACATTTTCATCAGATACAGGGTTGTTGGTTGATTTTTTTTTTCTATCCAGCACTTTGAGTGTATCAGTCCATTCCTTTCTAGCCTCCAAAGTTTCTGATGAGAAATCTAATGACCTTATTGATGGTCCCTTTTATGTGACAAGTACCCTCTCTTGGTGCTTTGAAGATTCTGTTTTTGGCTTTTGATAGTTTTATTATAATCTGTGGGTGTTTTGAGTTTATTCTACTAAGGAGGTCATTAAGCTTCTTGGACGTTTATAGTTCTATATTCACCTAATTTGGGAAGTTTTCAGCCATTATTTCTTCAAATAATTGCTTTGTCCCTTTCTCTTCTCTTTTTGAGACTCCCACAGTGTGTATTTTGGTCTACTTGAGAGTATGCCCTTAGGTTCTGTTCACTTTTCTTCAGTTTTTTTTTTTTTCTTTCTTTTCCTCAAACTTAGTAATTCTAATTATCTTCAAGTTTGCTGATTCTTATGTCTAATCTGCTTTTGAATTCCTCTAGTGAATTTTTCATTTCAGTAATTGTTAATTCTTAGCTCCAGAATTCCCTTTTGGTTTCTTTTTATGTTTTCTATCTCTATTGATATTTCCATTTTGTTCATACATCATTTTCTTAGCTTTTCCCACATCTTCCTTTAGTTCTTGTAGCATGTTTTAAAGTCTTTGTTTAGGGCGCCTGGGTGGCTCAGTCATTAAGCGTCTGCCTTCGGCTCAGGTCATAATTCCAGGGTCCTGGGATCGAGCCCCGCATCGAGCCCCGCATCGGGCTCCCTGCTCTGCGGGAAGCCTGCTTCTCCCTCTCCCACCACCCCCCCCGCTTGTGTTCCCTCTCTCGCTGTGTCTCTGTCAAATAAATAAATACAATCTTTAAAAAAAATAAAATAAAAATAAAGTCTTTGTCTAGTCCGTCCAGCATCCAATCTTTCTCAGGGATGGTTTCTGTTGATTTACATTTTTCCTTGGAATGGGCTATACTTTCCAGTTTCTTTGTATGCCTTGTGATTTTAGTTGTTGAAAACTGGATATTTGAATCTAATAATTTGGTAACTCTAGAAATCAGATTCTCCCCCTTCCCAAAGATTTGCTGATTTTTATTATTGTTCTGTTTATTATTTGGAGGTTTTGATGTTGGAGGGCGTCTGTGCTGAGTATCAGCCTGAGGTTGAAACTTAAGGTCTTCTCAGGTTTTTGTCTGAGCCTCCACCTCTTCCTGGGAAGACTGTAAGTGACTTTCTGAATTCCCCTGTATATGCAGCTGCTTTTTATAATGATCTAGTCCTTAAATGTTTGGCTCCCAAAAGGAGAAAAAGAGAAAAATAAAGCGAAGAAAGAACTGCTGGCCCTTTAAATCCTCTCAGAGTTTCTTCAGCTGGAGGTGGAAGGTAAGGTCAGCAGTGGGAGCCTTGCCATATGGCTGCCTGACTCTGTGCCTCCACAAGCAGAAGCAGCAGTTAGTGATCACAACACATATTAGTGTTCCCAATATTTGAAGGACACAGCCCTTATTCTCTACCTTGTTTCCCACAAATTGCATACACACTGCTCCTGGGACTTTGTAATTGTGTGTTCTTAGGTTTTGTATTTGTTTATCTGGCATCAGGTAATTACAGGGCCAAACTAGTGGCCAGAGTTATTTACATCTTCCCTGCAAACCAGCTTTCATGGGCCCATCAAGGTCATATCACAAACCTCCCAGCCACACACTGTAGAGTATGTGTTTTTACTCTGTGCCCAAAGGGGACATCCCCACCTAATTCTTCCCACCCATCTTAGCAGTAAAGATAGAGTTCCAGGTCTCTCTCTGCTTCCTTGTCCCCACAAGTGACAACTTTTATGTGGCCCTTCATGGTGCACCGTGCCTCTCTCTCATTTCTAGGGGAACTGTGAATAATAAACACTTCTTGTAAGGGCATTGATCTCTCCGTGTCCTCACTCAGTCACCTCAATATATTAAGACCAAACACAAAACAGAATCATGTGCACAGCTTCCTGACACAGGAATAAGGAGTGGGGGATGGGTAGCCACTGCTGAGCTAAGTGCCAAAACTGACTGAAATTAACCGTAACTTGAGCCTTCCTTTGGAAGTTGCAAGCCTTTGAATAAACTCTAGAGTTCTAAAATAGTTACATCAGACATACTGTGCCAGGACAGCTATCTAGGTATGGAGATAGTCTTCCCAGAATCCTCTAAAAACCTTTATACACACCCTTTTTCACCATTCATTCCCATGGATACCACTTAGACATTGTCAACTCCCACAACAGTCTCACCTCTTTCTGACCACTTTATGTTGAGGCTATAAAATGGTGGTTCTGCTGCATGGATGATTCACTGCATTGCCTGTAGTTGTTACAGTGATAACTGTGTTTCATCAAATCTAAGATGCCATGGATAATAAGAATACCATCACTTTAAGAAAACATGCCCACAATTAAACTTATACACCCTCATTTTAAAGTCGTGGCCTGATTTTAAGTTGTTAGAATGAGAAAAAAAATAAGTGAAGGATACTTGGACCTCTGTGTATTAGTTTTGCAACTTCCTGTGAATCTGTAAACATTTCAAAATATAAAGTTTAGAAATGAGAATTGGGTCAGAAAGTAGGAATATCCTTATGTCCAGAATATCTGATTCTTTCCAAAAGGAGATTAGACCAACTTAAATTATTAACCAACTTAGAGTACCAATATCCCTACATTCTCATCAGCATTTCCATTCTTTCAGTTTACTTGTTTTATTTGTCCACTCTTATTTTGGCCATTTGTTTCTGGTCCTGAGGATATAGAAGCTAATCAAAATATTGATAAGTGGTTTGGTGCTGTGATTTGTCTGATGTTTATATAAACAAAGCTTTAGTCTGAAAAAAATGTAAAACTGTACACAGCTGTTCATAGTACTTTATTCATAATAGCCAAAAACTGGAAGCAATCTTAGTGTCCTTCAGTGAATGAATGTTTAAATAAATTTTAGAACCAGTATATCAGTTTCTATTTTAAACTCACACATGCACACAGGTGCATGCAAACACACACACACACACACACACACACACACACACACCCTGATTGGATATATTGAATGTATTGATCAATCTGGGGAGAATTGACACCTTAATACTAATTCTTCTAGTTCGTGAGCATGGTATGTCCCTCCTTTTACTTAGGTCTTCTCTGATTTCTTTCAGCAGTGCTTTGGAATTTTCAGTATCGAGGTCTTACAGTTTTTATGATAAATATACACGTAAGTATTTTTTATGCTATTTTATGGGAAATTGCTTTTAAGTTCCATTTATTTGCTGCTAGAATACAGAAATGCAATTTATTTTTCTGTATTGATCTTGTACTCTGAGACTTCGATAAACTCACTTATTAATTCTAGTAGTTTTTGTTGTTGAAGTTGGTTATGCTTCCTTAAGATTTTCTAAAAATAAACTTTATCATAGAATAGTTTTAAGTTTACAGAAAAATTGTGAAGATTGTGCAGTGAGTTCCTCTATACCTATACCCAGTTTCCCCTATTATTAACATCTTGGCAGTGACTGTCTATTGTGTTTTTCTTGTTTTTGATGACTCTTAATTGGGGTTTGTCTGATTTTCAGTCATGCTTACACTGCGATTATGTGTTTTTTGGGGGGAAGACCATGGAGGTGAAGTGCTGTTTTCATCACCACATAATCATGGCTACATGCCACTGATGATGAATTATCACTATTGATGTTGACCTTGATCACCTGGATGAGAGTAGTGTTTCCTTAGGATTTTCTCTGTGAATAATCATGTCTACAAATAGGGACATTTCTTCCTTTCCAATCTTTATGCTTTCTTGTTTTTTGTTTTGTTTGTTTGCATTCTTGAATTAACTGGAAAGGCCAGGATAATGTTAAATGAAAGTGGTGACAGTGAATATCCTTCCCTTGTTCCTGAGCATAGAGAGAAAGCATTCAGTGTTTCACCACTAAGAAAAGTATGAAGCTTATGTGTTTTGTGGGTTCCCTTTTTCAGACTGAAGTTCGCTTTTATACCTAGTTTGCTCAGTTTTTAACATGAATGGATGTTGAATTTTGTCAAATGCTTTTGTAGTATCCATGCAAATGATCATATGGCTTTTCTCTTTTAAACTGTTAAACTAGGAGTCAGCAAACTTTCTGTAAAAGACCAGGTAGTAAATATTTTAGGCTTATCATAAAAACTACTGTAAGCCATATGTAAACCAAAGGGTGTGGCTGTTTTCCCAATAATTTGGTTTGCAGAAACAAGCCACAGGCCTGATTTGGCCTGCAGGCCGCAGTTTCCTGTAGCTAAGATTGTTTGCTTAATCAAACTTAAGTCAGGCTCCTAAACTTTCTAGGCCCATCTGTGCACTTTGTAAAATCTAGTTTTAGCAAGAAGCTTGCTAAATCAGTTTCACCAGAAACCACCACCCCTCTCCGCCTCTGATATCTGATCACCCTCAGTATCTGATCAGGAATTGAACCCGGTTATGTACTGACACGTTTTCATGTTAGATTTAATCTGGCTTCATTAAACAAGTTGGGAAGTATTCCTTTCTCCTCTGTTTTCTGGATGATAAAATTATCAACATTTCTTTAAATGTTTGATAGAACTCATCAGTGAATTTGCTCAGCCTCGAGTCTTCTCTTTGGGAAGGTTTGGTAACAAAATTAGTCTATCTTTGATAAATGTAGGTCGATATGCTTCTTTAAATAATTTAATTTTATTTGTTTTTGAACTTTATATAAATCTGTCATAGTGTTTATCCTTTGTTTTGCTCCTTCTCTTCCTAGAGGGGAAATTGCTTGTTCATAGAGGGCTTATTTATATTTCTAGATTAATTTGTGTGACCAGATGTTTTATTAACAAGCTTTTACAGGTGAGTCTTTGATGAAGAAAGGAAAGAAGGAATCAACAAGCTATTTGTACTTCATGAAAATACATTAGTTTGTCAGTAGTTGGTATATACATGGTTTTTAGGTGTTTTTTTGTTTTTTGTTTTTGTTTTTTGGTTGTTTTTTGGATCATAGGTAGAATGGCTAGCTCTTTGATTTTGAAAAGGAGAACAAAAGCAGCATCTAGCAGGCATTTCAATTTTTAAAAAAATACTTATTTAGAGAGAGCATGAGTGGAAGGGGCAGAGGGGAGAGAGAATCTCAAGCAGACTCCATGCTGAGTAAGGAGCCCGACAGGGGGCTGGATCCCAGGACTCTGAGATCGTGACCTGAGCCGATTAACTGCACCACCCAGGCGCCCCGGCATTTCTCATTTTAAATGGCAGCTCAGCATCTCTTGAACCCTTTTGCTATAAGCCTGGGGAATTTGCCAGTTTCGAATGCTGTTTTACCAGCTGCCCTTGGCGGCGTAGGCAGGAGGCCAAGATTGTCAATCAGATACACCCCCATAGGCCTTGGAGGAGGAAGGGAGCAACGTGATGAAGCTATTGAATAATCTTTGCTGATTTTCAACACATCACTTGCTGTACACTTTAGACATGTTTTAAAAAGCAAATAGGATGCTGGTTTTATGCTCTTAGATAACTTAAGATTTAAAAATATGTTTGGTACCGTGTAGTAAGGAATTTGACCTCAAAGAGAGGTTTGGCCTTTGCCACAGCCCTTGGGAGGTAACCTGTAAACACTTAAACTTTCCCAAGTTGTGGGAAGGTCTTTGTTATTTATGGAGGGCCCTCAGGCCTTATCAACCCTACCTCCTGGTTGGGGGAGCTGGAGACTGACTTCAGCTGGGTGGGCCATCATTCAGTCACTCATACCAACATAGTGAAGCCTTAATAATAGCTGGACACTGAAACTCTGCAAAGCTTCCCTTGTTGGCGGGACCCCACGCATATTGTCCCACATCTGTGCCAGGAGGGAGATGCATCCTGAGGGCACTGGGAGCTTCCTGTTTGGAACTCTTTTGGACGCTGCACTGTGCATCTCTCCCTTTGGCTGGCTCTGGTTTGTATCCTTTCCCTGGATTAAATGCATCTGTGAGTACAGTTGCTGTGAGTAGAGTTCTGTGAATCCTTCTAGCAAATTACTGAACATGAGGGTGGTTTTGGGAACCCACCGAACTTGGAGTGGTCAGGAGTCTTGGGCAGACTTTGCTGTCTGGACCAGGGCTGTGCCTTAACTTCTCAGTCTGGCTAATTCCGGTGGTACCACAAGAAGTGATTGGCCTGGCCATCAGTTCCTGCAAGACCCCTTCCTTTTCTCCCTCCCTGTGTTTTACTTCTTCCCATTCTCCTTGTCATTCCTTTAAATTTCCATACCTCTTTCTATTCCCCTCCTTTAACTGTCCTTCACTTGCCCTATCAATAACACCCCTGAGCCTTAGATCACCTGAACAGTGACATTCAAATTTGGAATAATCTCTGATTCAGGGGATCTACAGTGAAGTGTGCACATATGGCAATTGGGGGGGCCAGAAGAAAGCAAAATGTCTTTAGATATTTATGGTAAAAAAAATTCATTCTGGGGTGCCTCGGTGGCTCAGTTGTTAAGCGTCTGCCTTCAGCTCAGGTCATGATCCCAGGGTCCTGGGATCGAGCCCCGCATCGGGCTCCCTGCTCCATGGGAAGCCTGCTTCTCTCTCTCTCCCACTCCCCCTGCTTGTGTTCCCTCTCTCACCGTGTCTCTGTCAAATAAATAAATAAAATCTTAAAAAAAAAATTCATTCTGCCAGGAGTCTTAAAAATGCAAGAATCTCAGAAGAAGATAGCAGGAAGGGAAAAATGAAGGGGGGAAATCGGAGGGGGAGACGAACCATGAGAGACAATGGACTCTGAAAAACAGGGTTCTAGAGAGGAGGGGGGGTGGGAGGATGGGTTAGTCTGGTGATGGGTATTAAGGAGGGCACGTACTGCATGGAGCACTGGGTGTTACACGCAAACAATGAATCATGGAACACTGCATCAAATACTAATGTTGTACTGTATGGTGACTAACATAACATAATAAAATAAAATGCAAGCATCTCATTTGTAAAAACTGAACACATGTAAAGGAAAAGCCTGCATTTATTGAGCTGTAGTTCAGTAGGAGACCTCTGTAGATGTTTGATCCCAGAAATTTTAAATACGAGTTTCCCTTATTAAACCCACTTCCGGTTTGGATCCTTGCTGTGAGATAAAAAATTTCTAAATTGTTATTTGATGGGAAAGGGAAAAATACCCCCACAACACCTTTGCTTATTTATTTGCAGGTTATAGACAATTTGTGAAATGAGTGACTCTGATGATGACGATATCCCCCGGCTGTCTTCCCACACCTTAGCAGCCCTCCAGGAATTTTATGCTGAGCAGAAGCAACAAAGTGACGCAGGCAGGGATGATAAATACAACATTGGAATAATAGAAGAGAACTGGGTAAGTAAATGCATTCCACATCTCTCAGGAAGTATGGGTGCAGCACTGATTCCATACCTGTCTATATCTGTCTGTACCTGTCTGCACCTGTCCACACCTGTCCAT